GGAGTGTGTCCGTGCCTGTGATCTTGCGATTGCGGTCCCGCTGCTGCTGAGGCACGGCGGCGACTGAGATAGCGGGGATCGCACATGATCTGGCGGACGGGTTGGAAACAGCTCGTCCTATCTCCGCCCGTGTTCCCTAGATCTAGAGCTCGTTCTCAAGGCTTGGAAGCCCGCGCTGCGGTTCTTTCCCCTCTGAACGAGAGCTTGCTGCTGCGGCCATCTTTTCTCTGAGGAGATTGATGTTGTTTGTGTGACTGAGCGGCTCACGCGCTGCCGAGGCAACGCTTATATTACATAATTCGGTTTTTTATGTGAATCTTTCTCTCCAGATCGTATTTACTCCTCTGGTTGTTTGACTGCATTTAATTCTGAGGGATAAAATGAAGTTTTTATCTGACTATGATTCTCGTTCCCGTAGCGTTTTCCGACGCAGCTCGAGTTCCTGAAGAGGAACGTCTCAGGTTACGTATGTAACCATGGTTCCTCGAGGAAACGAGAGGCAAATTTTTTCAATTTATGCGCATCTCGGCATTTCATCCAGCGTTTTTTTGTGATATCCCAAAATGTGCATAAAAATAGGTGGATGGAAACATAGCTAGTGAAGTCAATCTACGTGTATAAAATAACAAAATAAAGTGCAGGCTGCAAGTAAAAATGTGGTCAACTATACAGTCCTCACAACAATGGAGATCTTAACAGAAATGTGTATTAGTTAATCACCACCACTAAAATATTAATGCTAAAGCAGAAATTTAGTAACAATTCTAGATAAGCTAATCATCTAGTCACGTACAGGTGCACTAGTTGCCCATCCTGACCCATCCCAAGCATGTATAGTGTGCGCAGTGATGAGGCTTGTTCAGGGCCTGCCTGCTGCTTTTCATTTGCAGTGTGATGAATCATAGCGGTAGTGATAAACACTATTCCACTGCCGTGCGGATAACTTCTCAGGGTGCTGTCACTCACACACACACAGTACACAGCAGAACAGACAGACGTGGGCTCCACCGAGGCAGAGACACGTCTTACTTCTCACAGTTTCCTCGCTCTCCCTCTCTCTCTCTCACACACAAAAACCTGCACTCGCCTTCTCACAATTTGTACGCACACACCCATAATCAGACACAAATAACATCTCTTTCCCACACTCACACTTGTCTGAGTTCCTGTTCTCACACAATCGGTGTTTTCAGGCTTCCCTCACACAGATACTCAAATATTCTCGCAGAGTTCCTCTCACTCACATATAGGCTATTTTCACTCATATGAGTGTTATAGGTGCAACTTATTGAGCTGCCAGCTAAGCATTTTTTGAGCATCACAGGCATAATATATCATAATCTATAGAGCTGTCTACCTAGAAAGCCTTTCTAGACAATATAGATACAAGTCTATGATGCCCAAATGTGCTGTTTGATTAAGCAGCTCACTAGGTTTTTAAACTCTGCTATTTATTTATTCCTTTAAAAATGATGTCTAAGGAGGCAGCTCACTGGGTGCTGACACAGTCTCTCTCTTTCTCTTGTGTTTACATTATCTCTTTCTTTCTGTCTCTCACAGTCTCTTACCCTGGACACTTTAAACTTGTAAGTATCTATTCCAAGACCTATTTACCACAGAGGAGTCTGATTCAGTCAGACAGCTCCGAGTGTGTGTGTAATGAAACTAGTTTACTATTGTCCGCTGAGATGTGTAACAAGTCAGTGTTGGAAGGATGCTTGCATATATATTAAAATTAAGCCTGGGGTTTAGACTGTGCTGCACATATCTAAAAATGTCACAGCTTACATTTTTCCGACCTCATCATTCTTACTGCAATCATTACTCATGTTTCTCGCTCTCACCATAGTTCTCAGTCTCTTGCATTCCACAAGGAAAGGTGCTTAACAGCCTCCTGCACATGACTTAAAACGTGCAAAACACCTAAAATGTGTATATAAACCCACAATCCTCAGAGCAAATCTTAACACTACTTTGGAAACCGCAAGCTTCCAAGTGCAACTCAGCGATCCAGTCCAAAGATGGCTTTGCCAAACACCTCTTGAGATTCACAGAATTCTCTCTCTCTTTCAAGCATTACACATTGCTCTGCTCATTTCATACAATTTTCCAGCAAATAAAGACATGCTTACTAGAAGCTTTGAAAAGATTTCAAACGGTCTTCGGACCACTTACTGAGTTGCTCTTTCCATCTGAAAGGGAGAAAGAGGGCTCTTTCTGGAAGGATGCTTGCATATATATTAAAATTAAGCCTGGGGTTTAGACTGTGCTGCACATATCTAAAAATGTCACAGCTTACATTTTTCCGACCTCATCTTTCTTGCTGCATTTATTACCCATGTTTCTCTCTCTCACTGTGGCTGCATTCCACAAGGAAAGGTGCTTAACAGCCTCCTGCACGTGACTTAAAACGTGCAAAACACCTAAAATGTGTATATAAACCCACAATCCTCAGAGCAAATCTTAACACTACTTTGGAAACCGCAAGCTTCCAAGTGCAACTCAGCGATCCAGTCCAAAGATGGCTTTGCCAAACACCTCTTGAGATTCACAGAATTCTCTCTCTCTTTCAAGCATTACACATTGCTCTGCTCATTTCATACAATTTTCCAGCAAATAAAGACATGCTTACTAGAAGCTTTGAAAAGATTTCAAACGGTCTTCGGACCACTTACTGAGTTGCTCTTTCCATCTGAAAGGGAGAAAGAGGGCTCTTTCAACTTCAAACGAGGGGGCTTTGAGAGTGTTCCACTCTGCTCTCTGTCCCCTGATACGGAAACACACCAGGGAGGAGAAGACTCTGTAGAGCGACATCGAGGCCAAAGCAACCTAATCCATATAAACAGGGCTGAAATGACACTGACAGGATTCTGCTTATGGGCTTACTTATTAAATTAATACTTTGAAGTCCTCTACAATGACAAGTTTTATGAAGGGATATCATGCTTTTATTCCTTCAACATTGACAATTCAGTCAACGGAGTGAAACGTCTACAGGGAATGAGGCCTTCCATTTGTTGTGAAAATGAAAGTGATTACAAAAAAAAAAAAAGTCAGTTCCCAAAAAACAACAGGGAATTTTGTGATTGTAATTATCAATAAGTTTATTTATTTATTAAACATTGGTGCGTTTTATCATACAGCTGTTGCTACTTTAAAAAAAGCAAGTTACTCAGTGTTTTACCATGGTAAAAACATTCCCAATTTTATCATTATTTACTCATCCTCATGTCATTCCAATCATACATTACGCTATTTTTAAATGTCAAAATGTTTTTTGTACATACAAAGAAAGTCAATAGGGTGCAATTTCATTTGGACCAGAAAGTCCTTCACAATATTTCTTCTTTTGTGTTGCGCAGAAGAAATGAATCAAGCAGGTTTTAGAATGTCATGAAGCAGAGTAAGCTAAAAATAAAACATCCACAGGTATGGATGTTTGAACATGGAGTTTCTTTCATGGAGAAACAGCTAAATCTACCAGATGACTCTCTGAATCTCTGTTCTCTAAGATGTGAGGAGAAAAAACACCTTGAGGTTGTGCTATCAAATAAAGCTCAGAGGGTTACAAAAACATGCCTCTGGCTTTAAAATGCCGTTTCACACAAACTCTCTGGCTTATACACACATCGTCTGCCTGACAGGAGCGGATTAGAAAAAAGTGTTTCCAAAACACATGCTGATGATGGGTGAAGGAGAGTTTCAAGCCTTTACAAACACAGAGGCTCAGTGTTTAGCCTTGTGAATGGTGTGATAGCTCTGTGTGCTTGAAACTAATACATAATCACTTGCACAACACACACAATATGCAACCGTAAATGCACCAAACTCATAAGCATGTTTCCTGTGAATATCAAAAGGTGAGCTTCTACTCGTTAACCTTAATGCTATGTGAGTTGTAGAAAACAGCTAAGCTAACCAGCAATGTTTTGAGCCTGCCTGCCTCCACTGCCATTGCATGTTTCATTGTTCCTGCACATTAATAATGAACACATGCCTGCAGCAATGCCCAAGCTTCCTGAGGGACATTGTGAAAGAATAACCAGACTCCATCTCTATACACTGTGGTCTTGAACTAACAGGACAGAAGACAAGATGCAGTACTCAGGCTCCCTTTACTGGCTAACTACACCTGTATGTTGAAATACCAACAATTCATGGCAACATCTCATGCAATGTTGACATAGAACACAGTGTTGTTGTAGCTGAACTAGTAGAGCATGTCAGAACAAGGTCAGGGTTTTGATTGCAACGAAAAAAAGAAGGCTGCCTTATGAGCTCTCACCTGGAGAAACAACTTCTTAAACCTGCCTGAGCTGGTTGGCTGGTCTTCTAGCCTGGTCAAGCTGGTCTGTTGGCTGATAATTTTTAAAGGGCTTTTGGTACTTTCACCCAGCTAAACACCAGCTTGGCCAGACTAGGAGACTGGCTAGACCAGAGGTGTCTAATCCTGCTCCTGGAGGGCCACTGCACTGCAGAGTTTAGCTCAAACCCTAATTAAACACACCTGAAGCAGCTAAGCAAAGTCTTCAGGATTACTAAAAACTTCCAGGAAAGTGTGCTGGCCAGTTTAAAGCTGAACTCTGCAGGACATTAACACTGCAGGAATGGACATCTCTTGGCCTAGACTATCTGAAAATCAGCTTGACCAGGCTGGAAGGCCAGTTGAAGACCAGCCTGACCAGGCTGGGAGACCAGCAAACCAGCTTAGGATGGTTTAAGACATCTTTTTTTCAGCAGGGTAAATGTAATGCAAATTTTAAGTAGAACAACACCATGAGCTAATCCCCCTGGAGCAATTTGCGGTTAATGCTTTGCTCTGGAGTAAACTGGTGATGGAATTGAACAAGCAATCTTCAGGTTTCTGAGCCTTAATCACTACACCACACCAACCCAATTCAAGCAAGTTTACAAAACCTCCAAACCTGAAACCTCCATTTCAATCAAGATCAAACAATTATTCTGAGAAATAGTCTACTCTGGAGAAAGTGTATACTTACGATCTAGGCCATTGATGTAACGCATGGTGATTTCACAGTGGCCCCACACCGCACTGACAATGGGGTACAGCTTTTTGCCTTTAAGGCCTCTGAAGGCCACTCCGAGGTACTGTCCATCCACCATGAAGCTCAATGTGCCCTCATCCATGTCCAGCACCACCATTAAGGCATCTGGCAGCACAAAGGCCTCCTCTGGCTCCAGGAAGCTTGGGTATGTGGGTGCAGAAGAGGCTGGCCGGTTCTTACTGTTATGGTAGAGCTTGTTACGTCCCAGGTCCCAGCCCCAGGACTCGCTATCACTGCCAACTAAAGAAGTGTAGCCCACCGAGTGCAATGGTGCATCTGCTGTGGCCACGCCCACCACCGCATGTGTGCCCCGTTGCCTAGCAGGCCAATGGATCCTCCAAACGTGGAGTCCTCGCGTGTATCCCACCCTTCCGCGAATGCCATCGGTACTCTGGGCAACAGGGTGTCGATGGAAGGTGAGTTTGTCATCGTCCTTGATGAAGATATTAAGCGAGCGGTCGTCTGGGTTCCAGGCATGTCGGAGCTGCTGCTCATACGAAGCGGGGGGCATGTCCAGGAGTAGGTCCAGCCGGGCTGGCTTGAAGAAATCCGGCCCTCTCAGTTCCCTCCTCAGGGGCCTGTAGGACGGCTCCCCACGCACGTCTACGGACTTGATGCTCCCCGAGATCTTCTGGCCCATGGCTTGGCTGGTTGGAAAGGGGTAGGGAGGAGGGGAGAGGGAAGGGGTGGTGCAACGCAGGGGCTGGGCTTCTGGGGTCCGCCGTTACCTCATCAAAGCACCAAGACGTCAGCCTGAAGCCCCCAAACTCCCGTCAGCGTCAGCGGTGGCGAAAGTGCCAGCCTTACTGAAGCCCTAGGAGAAAACACACCAACATACAATGTCATTAAAACACCATCAAAGAGTCCGCAGGCTGGTTTTATGAGTGCATCTAGAACTAAAAGTGTGAATCTCAAAGGTGTTAAGGATAAAAATGGTAACAGAAATAAAGGAAGCACATAAATAAGAAGACATGAAGATGAGCAGAAAGAGAGGATCATGGCCAACCACAGCCTGACAGCGTGTGAGAGACTGCGATGGGGAAGGATGTAATAATGAGTGCTGCAGGTGAGAACGAGACACCTTCTGTATGACATACAGAAACACTGAAGACGCACATATTCACGAGATTCAATCACTTAGCAGATGTATTTTAATAAGGTACTTTCAGAAAAAAGGCAATAAATAAATATAAAAAATAACTTGAAGAAAATGTGCCATAAGGTGCGAGTGACTACCAGAGATTTTTACAGCATTATTTTGCAGTTGCTAGGGTTTTCTGGGTGGTTGCTTGTTGGTCTGCGTGATTGCAAGCAGGCTCAAGTCAAAAGAGCCCAAAATTCATATGATATTCTTCTCTCTAAATATGGCTTGGAAGTTCAATGTCTCCACCAATGTAAAATTATTTTGATTGTCATTATTATTATTTTTTAATGGGCTTTTTCTTTTTTATAGATAGGACAGTAGAGAGACCACAGGAAAGCATTATGAGGAGAGAAGGGGACGGGATCGGCAAAGGACCTCGAGACGGGAATCGAACTTGGGTCTCCGTGAGCGTAGTTGCACTGTATGTCGATGCACTAACCACAAGGCTGTTGGCTATTGTGATTATTTTGATTGTTAATCTGATTGCATAAAAGTGCCATTATCAGTCTCTGCTCATTGAAATGCACATTTTCAGGCATCATTGGTGTCTGTATAACATAAATGGCATGGGATAAGTTACGTGCAGAATATGTGCCTTAACACTGCCTCAATAACTCTAAGTATTAGCATCAGCACTAGGAAAAAATGGAAGCCAAAATACAGCATTATTTATTTCTAGGTTCCTGTGAGAAAGGGCGAGAGAAGGAAAAAGAGAGAACAAAAGAGAGAGATTCAGTTCGCATCAGCCTCAATGTCACAAAAATACCTCCACATTAAAAGCCCATTTTAGAGTGTGCTGGAGATGCGATACTGATGTATGAAACGCTAGAAGGAACTTCCTGCTACAGTAAGTGATGCATGGTCTTTTCCTGGAATAAGAAGTCTCAACCCACGAAGCAGCTCTACAAAAAAGACAGTTAGTGGATGTTTACATAAACTGTCTTATTATGTCCGTTGCATCTGACCGTTGCAAAGTATCTAGTGCCATGAATGCAGTGTTTCAAAGAAGAAGTCAAAAAGTTCAACTTTGAAAAACAAAGCATAGTGATAAACAGCAGTATTTAGCTGTTTCCATATGTCAACGTTTATTTCACTACAAAAAAAGCAAAATGCAGCATAGGGAATTTAAATTCAAATAAACCAGTGAATAGTTTATCCACTTCATTAATGAACCATTAAACAAACTGACTCACTAAATGAATTGAATAAGAGATAGAAGAGTGTTTTTGATTATTAGCACACTACTGTAGCTTGTTAGGCTGTTTGTGTGATACAATGTAACACTAAACAGCGTCATTTTAGACTACTACTTGTCAGAGTACAGCTCATTATCGGACAAGCTATGATACTGTAAAACGCCTCAGCTACGCTACTAAAGTATGTACGTAGGTGAGTTGGAAGTGTCGCTTCTTTTAGCTTTTCCACAGCAGTGCTGAATAACATGTTCACACTCAATCAGATGAACAGTCATCACCAACGTGGGTCATCAACACAAAGGAAAAAGGTCACACATACGGTACGTGGACAGAAACACATCTCAAACAGTCTCAACACATTAAGGTCACAGAGAAAGAGAGACAGGAAAAGAGAGAGCTGAATTCAGACGACAGGAAGGAGGGTAGCCAGACGGCCAGACAGTCAGAGCCCGGAATCCTGGGTAAGTGTTGCCAATATTAAAGGAAAAATAAATGAGGTCATGAAAGAAGTAGGATAGAATGTGAATGTGAATGTGTGTGTGAGAGAGAGAATGAATGAGAAAGAGAGAGAGGTTGCTGCCCTAACATGCCACTCACAGCTATCATAACGTGTGCTAGAAGCCGAGGTGTTAGGTTTTCCGTATCGTATTTCAGAGCTGGAGAGGCTTCCGCGGCAGGGCACAAAGTGTTTCACAGTCTTGCAGCCGTGCAGAGGCACAGTAATGCGTTTCATTCAGGTTGTGTTTGGTTCAGAGCGCACACGTCAGTTTAACTAACATTCTCTCACTCAACCGCTGTAGTACTACTCACTAATAACTGTAATAAACACAGACACAAACATAATTACGCTGTTAGTCTGGGAGTTGTAGACAGGTTTTTAAACACTGTTCTCACATTAGGTCATTACATGAAGGCTTGTAAAACAAGGTCTGAGAAAAAGAAACAAACTGACGAGACAACAAAAAGCTTTTGGTGGATCAATTCATTCCATTAAGTTCCGGATTGAGCCTGAAAATGTATAAAACTGAAAGTGCATTAGGATGATTCAAAAATGTCCACTTCATACCCACTAATATTTCTATATTTATGTTTACATAAAACAGAGTATTATACCGCCTGTATCAACCATCACCCAAAATAGCTTGACTTTTAACTTCAACTGTGTTGACAGCTTACAGTAAAGATGAATAAATGAATAAACAGATGGATGGAAAGACAGACAGACTGGCAGATATAGATAGATAGATAGATAGATAGATAGATAGACAGACAGACAGACAGACAGACAGATAGACAGACAGCTGGTGTGTTTCAATGTGTCACAGCAGAGTGTCACGCCGTAAGACAGTGACCGCATGGCATGACTGTACTGTGCCTTTGGGCGTTACACTGCTGATATAAAATGCCAACGTCAAGCTGAGAAGTGAAAAAAACGTCCACTACGTCAATTACACTCGCTCTCCTCAGGGGTAATGATCTCAAACCATATGAGACACGACTAATGTAACTATAACAACCTACTTTTAATGGACCGCTGATGTGCTGTCTCCATCTGCTTAGCCATGCAAGACAAGACTACATATAAAAGCAGTCTGCCAGGGCCATACGTCTCCGCATGGGAAAATGCCCATTTGTGCTGACTTATCCAGACAGACAGACAGACAGACAGATAGACAGACAGCTGGTGTGTTTCAATGTGTCACAGCAGAGTGTCACGCCGTAAGACAGTGACCGCATGGCATGACTGTACTGTGCCTTTGGGCGTTACACTGCTGATATAAAATGCCAACGTCAAGCTGAGAAGTGAAAAAAACGTCCACTACGTCAATTACACTCGCTCTCCTCAGGGGTAATGATCTCAAACCATATGAGACACGACTAATGTAACTATAACAACCTACTTTTAATGGACCGCTGATGTGCTGTCTCCATCTGCTTAGCCATGCAAGACAAGACTACATATAAAAGCAGTCTGCCAGGGCCATACGTCTCCGCATGGGAAAATGCCCATTTGTGCTGACTTATCTATTAGAAAAACAAAAGCACTTGGCTGGTGAGCATGTCACTGGGATGGGGCTGCTATGGCTATAAGTCAAAGAAAAGCAAAGTAGAAGTCAAAACAACCCTGGTGTAATTGTGCTCTGTGGCTCCTCTGTGGTGTGATGTCTTCAATCAAGCCAAATGTCTTTTTTTCTATGCTTGGGAGCCGTTTTGGGTTATTGAAATAAAGAATAAAAATCTAAACTGATCTTCAATCTGCAACATTTTTGGATAATAAACATCTTCCTCAATTTGCCATTCCACACTCAAGGCTCTATTTGTTTTGCTTGTCCCATCATAAAGATAGCGTTCTTTGTTTTCAGGCCCGTGTAATTGAATTTTCCGCCGCTGCGTTGCGTGTTTGGCGAGCTCCCCAGGACTCAAGAGCTTGTAGCTGTTCTGCATGACTAGAGGAATGATAATATTGCAGACCCCAGGCTGCCGGCTTAAAAGGCCTGAATGCTGTTTTATACAATAGTTAGGTCTGTCCATGCAATCTGATTGGCCAAAAGGCATGTGTTGCATCCTGGAGGACGTTTACAGTTGGAATAAAACCACATGCAATGACCAAGTGTGAATATACCCATTTGACTTAGCAAAACTGACAGAACCAACAAAAATCACAGCGTGGGTGGATGGATGAATGGATGGACACTTGGTACTTTCACTTGGTCATTTCATGTAGTTTTATTCCATGACGGATGGAGAAAATGGACAAAAAATACTATGGAAGTCAATGGACCCAAAACCATTTGGTTCTTCAAAATATCTTCTTTTGTGTTCAAAAGAACAAACAAAGTCATACAGTTTTTGAATGCCATGAGGGGGAGTAAATAATGACAGAATTTTCATTTTAAGAGGATTATCTCTTTAAATAACACAGATCTGAATCTGTGGAGCTGCCCTATGTGACGTGTGTCTGTGTGTTCACACTGTTTAGTCTACTGGCCATTACTGTGTACATCCTCATCTGAATTTGTTTATGCTTCAGCACCTGTCAGACCCTCAGCAGGGCCTCTTTTTCACACGCTGTGTGGCACACGGGGGCTTGCGTTTCCCTTCAAGAGGGTGGGGGGTCTGTGATAAAGCGAGCGCCTGGTGCCTGGCCCCTCGCCTGCGTTACCCTGGTCACAAGAGAAGTGATGGACACGCACACCTCTAGCCACCGGTGGCTTTGATGAGTAGGAACACACATTCGCCATCTGTTGTTTATCTTTGCATCCTCTCTCTCTCTCCATTTCATCGGGAACATCTCTCTTTCCTCTGCGGCTAGTGTCATTCATTTCCTCACACTTTCTGTCTCTTGTTTCTTAACTCACTCCCAGCTGGATAATCAAGTTAAAACCAGTTTGAAAAGACAGCTGGTCTAGACTGTTGATTAGCTAGACTGTCAGACCTCAGACCTGGTTTCAAGTTAATAAATCATCTTAGACT